ACTGTAATTTGGTTATATATGTAGCAGCCTCCCCCTACACACAAACACTAAGTAATGGGATTATTTTGCAAGGTACAAATTTCCAATTAGCCTGTATTTCATCCTCACAGATTAGTTTCTCCTACTCAACGTGTACACATTACCGAGGAGGCAAAATGGCACATCATAAAAAACTGTGAAATTAATTGGAAGTTTCTCCTGCTACTTGCACTTACCAGATTGTTTGCACCTCAGCAACAGAAAAATACTTACATTTTCTAATAATTCACCATCAAGATGTTGGCAGCCCTCTTCTCAGTCTTGCTTAGATGAGCTTTGAGTGGGGGCTGGAATGCATTTGATGAACAAACCAACCGCCCCCACAGGCAAGCTGTTGTGAAGGCAGCACTCTCACGAAGGGAAATGGGCAAAATAAAGATAAGCTTGCAACCAGGCTCACATTCCAATTTGTTGCCATATGCACATCATATTGGGAAGATGTCTGCAGATTTTTTTTGCCATTTGGGGATACACATATTTGCCATTTGCAGCTTTGTAGGTTTTTCAGTCACAGCTTAATAATGTTACAAAAGTGGGGTGCCACCCCCCACTCTCTACCGAGTGGCGGCAAGATTCCAGGGGGGTCCAGGCACTCATCCAGGGTCTGTGTTAATTTCAGAACGAAGCAGCAGCAGGTGCTGTGTAGCTTTAAGAAATATGATTTAATTTACACCTTGGTCGACATAATTGGTCTACATAGATCTTACAGAATGGCCATCTCAAGAGAGGCTTGTTCCCCACAAAAGTGCAGCACTGCAGTCCATGTCTTCTCTTCCAGCCTGCCTTCAGCCAAACGGTCCAAGATGGATCTGCCCTTTGTTCCAGCTATGCCATGCTTCCTGTCAAAGGCCCCAAGCTCTTCCTGTGACATCACGCCCAGTTATCTTGGCAACCTTCCAATTCTCCTTTCTCTCTTCACACCTCAGGGCAAGAGGAAAGACAATTCTCTTGCACTGCCAATGGCCCTCCATTGCCCTGCATTGTTTCTTAGTGGCCCTAGCTCTAATAACCAAAATCCTACCATTTATTAATTTCTGGGTTTTACGGCAGCCCCCCAAAAAACTGTTGTTGTTGTTGTTTAGTCGTTTAGTCGTGTCTGACTCTTCGTGACCCCATGGACCACAGCATGCCAGGCACTCCTGTCTTCCACTGCCTCCCACAATGTGGTCAAACTCATGCTGGTAGCTTCGAGAACAATATCCAACCATCTCATCCTCTGTCGTCTCCTTCTCCTTGTGCCCTCCATCTTTCCCAACATCAGGGTCTTTTCCAGGGAGTCTTCTCTTCTCATGAGGTGGCCAAAGTATTGGAGCCTCAGCTTCAGGATCTGTTCTTCCAGTGAGCACTCAGGGCTGATTTCCTTCAGAATGGATAGGTTTGATCTTCTTGCAGTCCATGGGACTCTCAAGAGTCTCCTCCAGCACCATAATTCAAAAGCATCAATTCTTCGGTGATCAGCCTTCTTTATGGTCCAGCTCTCACTTCCATACATCACTACTTATAACAATATATTATTAGTCAATCATAATTTCATTTGAACAGCGGAAGCAGGTTTGGGGAAATAACATATAACTCTCAGACTAATTTCATTGGTGGTGGTGGGGAAGTTGAGGGGTGCCCTCCTGATGTTACTGGGCTCCAATTCCCAGCAGCCCCACTCAGCACAACCAATAGCCAAGGATGATGGGAGTTATAGTCCAATTACATCTGGAGAGCACAACATTGGTTATCACTGGAGTAATACGATACGATCTTTATTGTCATTGTCCCATACAGAACAACGAAATTGAAAATCTACATCAGACATTCAGAAACCAACAAACCTGCTATTCCAGCCATCCCAGCCTGGTTAGCCCCCTAAAAACTCTGATACCCCGTAATTAAATACAATATACTCCCATAGAGACTACCTTACACTGCGTTTAAAACAAAATCGCATTTGAATAGAAACTGTTTCTCAGGCAGCTATTCCTAGTCTTTATAACCCTGTACCTTCTTCCAGAAGGCAGAAGCTGAAAGAGATCATTTCCGGGGTGCACACTATCCTGCACTATCTCTGCAGCTTGCTTATGGCACCTGGAAGCATAGATTTGATCCAAGGTAGGGACCAATTCTTCTCTCCACAGTCTTTACAACCCTGGACAACATTGTTTTTTCCCTGACCGTGCAGCTCCCAAACCACACACAGAGACCATGAGTTAATACACTCTCAACAGTGCAATGGTAAAATGCCATCAATGGAAGGAGGAATGGAGAAAAGTGTTTTGCAAGTGATAACTACATACTTCTGGCAAGAGGTATTTGTCCCGCCCTTGGCAGCTATTGTTTGGTGGGGAATGGGGCAGGGGCAGAAAGAGAGGGAGGGAGAGAGGAGGAGAAGGAGGTGCAAATAGAGAGAAAGGGGTGACAGAGAGGGGCTCGCTTCACACACTTTTGACTCTGGTCCCACCTACCACCAGCATGCAGTCCCTGGGGGAATCTGCCCTTTGATAGAAAAAAAGATTCCTCACCCCCAAGTTAAAGGAATCTTTCCTCAACAATATTACTAGGTGATTTTTTTTTTTAATGCTATTGAAGAAAAGAGATTGCCCTGACTGTATACAAACATTTACAGGTTTTCTGTAATCCGCTTATAAGGGGGAAGCAATCTGATCTTTAAAAATCATATTACATTCCAATCTGGAAAAACTGTTTGTAAGCTCATACGGGTTCTAATACTGATCCTTAAATAAATAAATAAATAAATAGAGCAGGTTATTTACCTCATGGATATCGTGTGGGAAGAAGCTATTCTGCCACTGCTGCTCTGATCAAATCTAGAGTCTTCACCATATCCCAGTGGTTGTTTTAGGTAAAAATGTGACTATTAAGACCCAGTGCACAGATCTCCAGCACTCATCTCTTTGGGTGCCAAATAATCTCATCACGACACAAATTCAGGTGTTAAACCTGACACAGGGCAGTAAACCTGTGGCTCTGCAGGCTGCTGCAGTTTGCATTTCCTAGTACAGAAAATATTGATCTGATGTATAGAGGTCTTTCCTATTCTCACTAATTCAAGAGGGTTCTGGAAGCTGCTCTGTGTGAAAGTTAACAAGCAGAAGGTTCATGCTGTTTGGGTTATTCTTTCACAGAAACTGAGTACAGCTGGCTTAAACTGGCCCTGTTACCTCTTCTTCAAGGTCATGCTGACTATAATAAGAGGCCAGAAGGAGCCTGGGTTTCACTTTCTCTTTCTATCTCTTTTCCTTCTGGTGTTCTCTACATTGTATGCTTAGTGTTAGGATTTTAGACTAATTATAAGTTATTGCAAGTTTAAGTTAAGTCTGCTGCAACTGGATTTCTTATGGACAGTGCCAACCCTGATTGTCTTGGATTTGTAACCATTATGCTCATTTGCCTTCAGGAGCAGTAAAGCTCTGCTGAATGAAATACAATTGCCTCTGGTCTATTTTGGGGGATTCTGCAATGTCTTTATACAACATGTTTATAAGTTTTTACTCTGCTAACTATACATTGGAATCTACTCTAGATCAATATTGAATAGAACGTGGGAATGTTCAGGGTGGGTGTTTATTAATATCCTTCCTAACTTGCACTAGCAAGTTCCTTTACTTAGCAGAGTTTATATTCCCCTTCTCACGCACAGCAGAAATCTGGTTGCAGGCGTGTTAGAGCCTCTTACTATTATGCAATTCAATCTCCATAGATTGAATTGTATGTTCCTGGTAAGATCCCCCTTTAAATCCCTCCTAAAAGAATAAAGACACCACAGTCGTACTCATAAGCAATAGAAAGAAGGTTTACTCACAATCAGGCAGAGCACAGTGTGATCCCTGAAGGCAGGCTTTAGGCTTAAAGTTACAAACTTATACTAACAGGGGGACTGCTTGGCTGGCAGCCTGCAGTTTATTTCAGGAAGTTCGCAGGACGAAAAGAAGATGGAAAAAAAGAGAAAAAAGAGAGAGTGACAGCATGCCTTGGCCTTTTACCAGGTCTGGAAAAGTCACGCCCACCCACTAGTCACATGCAAGGAAGGATGCTCCAGCCCAGGAGGAAGAGGAAGTTTTGACTGGCTGGACCAAACATTCCCTTGCATGTCCACTCTAGCAAAACAAGGAATTTTGTATTTGACTGCTCCCAGTGGATCACATCCCACATAGAATTCTATGACAGCTGCAGCAGCCAATGAGATGGCAATTTTCACAAGTAAATTGGAAAATCGTGCCACCTAGTGGCGGAAAATAAAATTACTCCCATAATTTAAAAAACGCTGCTAAGACACAGGCTTGAAGCACAACCATAAAGAAAACTAGCTATACACGAAAGGACATCTGAAATACCAAGTTCAGCTTCTAGAAAATAAGTTCTTAAGACGGATGTTAAGTACTGCGAAGAAATTTTTCTCTGATAACTGCCAAAGTAATTAAAGTAAAACAAAATATTTAACAAAATTTTGACCTTTTTTTTAACTTTTTTTTTTAATTAAATATTTGAGATGAACTGATAACTACATAGGGTAAAACCACCGGAATCTTAACTGACTTTCAATCCCAACAGATGGAATAAAAGGACCAAATTATAGACTATAAACAGAGCATTTTCAAAGTTTAGGAATATATATATTCTTGGTTTGAAATAGAGATATCTAGATCAGAACCAAAAGGAAGAAGACAAATATGGGTTCTAAAAAATACCAAACTACACTGACATCTGGGTCAGGTCTACAAGTGAGAAGACAATCAAAAGCTGAAACAGACCCCAATGCTGACATAAAAGACCTTATAATGGGGATGGAAAAGAGCCTGAATGATAAGCTGGACATATTAGCTGGCAACATCCAACAAAACTCAAAGCTAATAATAGATTTAACAACACAAATAAGTGACCTCTCACTTAAAAATAAAGAACTGGATAAATCTGTACAATAACTTAAGAGTAAATCTACCAAACAAGAGGAAATGACGAAGAAATTGCGAATGGAAAATAAGGACATTAAAAAATCACAAGATTCAATGAAGGAAGAAATAAACGACCTAAAGAGAGCCCATGAAGAGCTGCTAGATGATATATCATTGATGGAGATGCGTCAGAAGGAGATGGCCCTCCGCTTCCGAGGCGTCCCACAAACTCATGATGAACAAATTCAAGAGAAACTATCACAGGAGATTGCAAACTGGTTGGGAGTAGAGGTAGAAGAGATGCTATTGCATATTGATAAAATTTTCAGGATCAGATCAGAAAGATCGGACACTTATAAAGGGCCAGGAGATTGCTTAATTTTTTTCAACTCAAGACTTTTAAAGGACAAAATATTACATCAAAAAGGACAAGTGAAGTTAATAATAGAAGATAGGCCTATCAAAATATTTAAGGAAATCCTAAAATGAATTTTGAAGAAAAGGCAGAACTATAAGACAGTAACAGAAGCACTCAAGAAGAATTTGATTAGATTCCGGTGGGAATTTCCTGAGGGCATCACCTTCACATATAAGGACAGAAGAAAAACTTTTAGATCAGTAGACGAGCTTGGAAAATTCTGGAGGAAGTACAAAAAAGAACTAACTGGAGATCCAACATTGGAGCGAGAGGAAACAACGCAGGCCAAATGGCCGAAATATTGGGAAATTTTGGAACAGGAAGGAGACAAATTGAAATTGCAGAGCTTTGAGAAACTAAAAAACAAAGTGCGAGACTGGCTTCATTACTATCAGATAATGGAGGCATATAATTTGGACAAGAAAATTGGCTTCCAGGTGGAAAAATCAAAATTAGAAACAGAACTGTTAGAACCCAAAACTAAGATTTTGTCAAAGATGTATAACTTGCTGTTGAAATGGAATACTCAGGATGAAACGGTGAAATCTGCTATGATTAAATGGGCACAAGATTTAAGACATAATATCATGTTTGCTGACTGGGAACAGTTGTGGACCACAGGTATGAAATTTACGGCATGTAATGCCCTAAGAGAGAATATTATGAAAATGATATACAGGTGGTACATGACCCCAGTCCAGCTTGCAAAAATCTATCATTTGCCCGACAATAAATGCTGGAAATGTAAAGAAACTGAAGGTACATTCTTTCACCTTTGGTGGACATGTCCAAAGATTAAGGCTTTCTGGGAAATGATATATAATGAATTGAAAAAGGTATTTAAATATACCTTCTTGAAGAAACCAGAGGCCTTCCTCCTGGGCATAGTCGGCCAATTGGTGTTAAAGAGGGACAGAACTTTCTTTATGTATGCCACAACAGCAGCAAGAATTCTTATTGCAAAAGTATTGGAAGACACAAGATCTACCCACCTTGGAAGAATGGCAGATGAAGCTGATGGACTATATGGAACTGGCGGAAATGACTGGCAGAATCCGAGACCAGGGAGAAGAGTCGGTGGAAGAAGATTGGAAGAAATTCAAAGATTATTTGCAGAAATATTGTAAAATTAATGAATGTTAGAATGATGTTCGATAAAAACTAAGTGGTTCTTAGCTGAAATGTTACAAGGGAGATGAAAAAAGGGTTTATTATGTAATATGTAAAAATCTAAAATTATAATATTTTCATGATTAATGATTAGGATACTAAAAGAGGGGAGGGAACTGCTGAACAAAATATTTGAACTGGAATGCAAAAAAGGGAGGCGTGAGGAGGTCGAGGAAACAAGTAAATGAAAGATAAGACATGGAAAGACTAATCTGTTTTTTTTTTTAACTGTTTTTACTTTGTCTTTTGTATTGTTGTATTTTTATATCTTTTTTCTTTTCTTTTTTCTTTTTTCTTTTTTCTTTTTTCTTTTTTCACTTATTTTTGTAATATGTTGAAATTTTAATAAATATCTTTTTTTTAAAAAAAGAGGAAACAACGCAGACGCCACAAGAAGCATAGAGAGACAATATTAAGGGGGGGAGAGAGATTGGAAGAAACATATTGTCAAAATCCTAAAATTTCTGAGTTTTCTTTTTCTTTTCTTTTCATTTTTTTATTTACTCAATGAAACCATTGTAGATAATAAATAAAGATTAATGAATCTAAAAGTTACGTCTTGGAATGTTAACGGTTTAAATGATAAGAGGAAGAGAAATAAAATAGAACATGTATTGAGGAAAGAACAATGGGATATTATATGCTTGCAGGAGACCCATGTGACTAGAAATCACAGAAGGGTTTTAGAAAACAAGAGGTTTGGTCAAGAATTTATATCCTCAGATGTAAAAAAGAAAAGGGGAATTGTGTTCTATGTGAACCCTAAACTAGACGCAAAAAAAACTTTAAGGATGATGAGGGTAGATTATTAGGGGTAAAAATAACAAAAGGTAAAGAACATTTAATTATAGTAGGAGTTTATGCACCGAATGGTAACAAAACAGAATTTTTCAGAAAAGTAGAAGCTAACTTACTGGAATTTATAGAAGAGGAAATTATTTTGATGGGAGACCTAAATGGTGTCACATCAATAGAATTAGATAGGACACAGAGAGAAAGAAAATCAAAAAAAGGCAGACTCCCAGACACCTTCTTTCAGATGGTAGAAAACTTAAATTTGATTGACACATGGAGATATAAAAACCCAGGAGAAAGACAGTATACACATTTTTCGGAAGTTCCAAAATCAGCCGGCCGAATTGACAGCATATGGGTATCAAATAACTTAACAACTAAAATTAAAAAAGCAGAAATACAGACCAAAAGTATTACAGATCACAACCCAGTCACATTAGAATTAAAGGAATACAAGAATATTAATAAAAGATGGAGACTTAATGAAAGATTATTAAATGACGAAAAGATTGTGGAAAAAAGCGCAAGAGCTACTGAAAGAATTTTTTGAATTATGTGGAGCCTATCCAGGACTCAAACCAGGAGTGTGTTTTGACAGAACAGGGGTTTGTGTCATTAAATCAGGAGTGTGTTTTGACAGAACAGACCCAACAGGAGTTTGATCCTTCGGATTGGACAAAGGAACTTGGAAAAAACCAGATCTGGGAAGGGAAAGTTCGGTGTGGTTTGGAAATGGGGGGCTGGATTGACCCCCCTATGTCGGGATATTTGGACCTTTTAAATACGGTAATAGGCTGCGATATGTTTGGGATTGTGGGGGCCCACAATTTTGGAGGGCCCTTGAAGCATGCTTTTAAATACTACATGGAATGCAGCGATGAACACGGAAAAGGGTGTGATCTGATGAGAAGGGCTAAAAACACTACTAAGTCGGAGTTACTACGAGCAAGAGACTACAGCTACAAGTATGAAGAAGAGCCGCGGAAGGGCCATGGAAGTGACCTGAGGGCCTTGGACATAAGGTCACCGGGTTAGATTGAGGAATAAGGACTGACAAATCCCGGAACCAGGAGGAAGGGACGTTGGATAAAGATTGGACTTGTTTATATGCTTCTTTTTCTTTTTTTACTAATAGAATGTTTTACAAAGTTGATGAATGATAGAAAAATGTTGGAAGAAATTACCTGGCTTTAGTAAAGATGCATAAAGAATTATGAAAGAACATTATGAACACAAGAAGTTGGTAAAGTTAAGATTTAAATTTTAAACTTTAAGGTTTATTTTATTATAGAAAGACAGGATTAAATTAGTTGAGAATTCTCTTTATTTTTTATTTTTTTTTGAAACATGGGGAAAGGATTTGCTGGGATAATTAATAACTAGAATACAAAGGAAGGGAGGAGGAGGAGGTCTAAGAAAGAAGGTAATGACAGTTAAGGATCTGAAAATAAGGAACTTGTTTTGTTTTTTCTTTATTTTTCTTCTGTATCTTCTATTTTCTCATATTTTTATTTTTATTTTTTGTATTTTTATTTTTACTTTTTGTTTTTGTTCTGTTTTTGTGTAAGCTTTGAATTTTTGGAAATTTTAATAAATATCATTTATTAAAAAAAAAAAAGAATTTTTTGAATTAAATAAAGAACAGGATACAGACATCAGGATAATATGGGATGCAAGTAAATCCCACTGATGATCTTAATTGAATTTTGTTCCAATTGTAATTTTCAGTAGAGTGATATTAAATGTTCATCATATTCCCCCTTGCCATGGCTTGCTTCCAAGGAACATTTTCTGAGTCTTTTGCCATAAGCATTGATTGCTAGTTTCCTCAGGTGTGGCATTTAAAGAGGGCATGGCAGGCAGTAATTTCCACCCACCCCTGAAATTCTGACCATGTGCGCTCATTCCTCAGGTGCACCCAAGTAAAGCATAAGCTCCATTGAGTTGTAAACCAATGTGGTCAAGAGTAACATCAGTTGCGGCCAGATTAAAGGGAGTGGGAATCCTTCTAATTTGTGTATATCTGTCATCCCCAACCTGGTGTTCTCTAGGAATTATTGGATTGTAACCTCCATCAGCCTCAGACATCATGGTCAATGATCAGGAATTGTGGAAGATGTAGTCTGCCCAGCAACATCTAGATGGCACCAACTTGGAGGAGGATGGTGATTACTAGTCTTGTGCTGAATCATATACTCTCTCCATCTCTAAACATCTATCTCCTGCCATCATTCAGATGGGCACATGCAGAAGGGCAGAATCTTCTTCCAGAGGTTTTTGAGCTCCATCTCCCATCATCTCTTAACATGGATCATGATGGGATAGGAGTTGCAACATCTGGAATGCTTCAGGTTAGCCTCCCATAAAAAAACAACCCCACCCTTTTCTTTTGAGACCTCCCAGACATGGAAAATTTATGTGGTTCTCCCTTCATCCTTCATCCATCTCTCTCTCTCTCTCTCTCTCTCTCTCTCTCTCTCTCTCTCTCTCTCTCTTATATCTCTGTTCTTCAAATCTTTTCTCCCCAAAGTGAGAGGTTTTATTTCTCTTGGGGAAAAGCAGAAGAGAGAAAGGAGAGAGAGTTGATCCAAGGCAGTAGTCCTTCTTAAGGTAGCCTGTGCTTTCCAGGACTCTGCTTCAAAACAACCATGCAACTCCTTAAACTCACTAATGCATCTAAGGAATATGAACTTTAATCCTCAAAACCTCTGTGTAGAGTATCTGACCTGCCTCAAGATCCTGTTGTTTTTGCTGCAACAGGCTAGCATAGCTATCCTCCTGGGTGTAAAGAGCTTTATTCCAAGAATAAAGGTTTAAAAAATGTTGGAAAAATTATGCTAATCACAGAGCTAGCTATATTTGTGGGATAAATCAGCCTTATACAACTAACATGCCTAAGTCTAATTAA